AGACTCATTAAGTTTTGAGTAAAATTATGAAATTATGAAATATCTACACCCTTCTCTGGATCGTCACAAAACTTTAATCACTTCTTTACTGGACCTTGACAAACTATTATAGAAAGTTTCATTTAGATTCTTTCATACGGTACGTTTTTAGAGATACATATAAATTTGTCTAGATGGTTTTGACCACGTAACAAGACATGTTTTTAATACTGCGCACGTGTAAGAAAGATACAATGAACAGATTGAGTTTGCCCGATTTCATTATACGATAAGGGTATATAAAAATGCACTTTTTTAAAACCATCAATAATTAGTTAAACACTATTAAAAATATATTCGCAATTTATGCACAACACTGTGGAAAACTATCAAGCCATATTCAATTTAACAAAATTGTCGATACAGTAGGTCCTATATTTTCTTCAGTTCAGGAAATGGAACACGCCAATTACATGGGCCGGCTGTGAGCCCCGGTAGTTTCCTTCTTGAAAACCTTTGATAGAATTTAAATATGACGGAAGAAAATTAATTAAATTTATGCAACTTATTACAAGAAAATTTGCTTTCTGTTGCCTTAAGCGATCGGATTAGTGTAGGCAAATTTAGGACACTGTAAAAAAAAAAAACGACTCCTCAAGTCAGCTCAAATCCCGCTGAAAACACGTTAATATTGCCTATATTTTCGTAATTCAACGCAAAAATGACAGGGTGAAATATTTGAAAACAAATAGTTTGTAAATTGTTTGCAATAGCTAGCCTATATTTATAACCTTCTATAAACCGATTTAAACTAATTTATCCGACCGCCAGTTTTTGACTTACGGGTTTGTAGTAAAAACAGTTGGTGCTTTTGAAGAAGCGCTAATGGTTACGAAATAGGGTGATTTTCACGGCCGTGGTACGTTTGAAGTAAAGTTGACCAAACAAGTTGATATGTGTAAGTCTATGACGTCAGAAATTAAAATGACTCACATTTAGCTAATTGAATGGCCGACCGGTTAGCAGGGGCGCCGCAACCACAGCTGGTTCGAACGGCACGCTCGCCTTAATGGTTCTGGTGGTAGAACAAATCTTCTCGGATAAGAACTATAAACCGTAGGCTCGTGTGCACTATAAAGAAACCGAAATAGGCCTATATACATAGATTTGGCGCAACAGGGTGAGGGATTTTAATTTCAGATTATCATGTTGAAATTGTTTTACGCATGCTTTTGTTATAAAAATTGTTAACAGAAATAAAATTATCTCTCGTCCCTAAGACTCATAGAAGGACTTGGTTTATAAAACATCATTCATCTTGTAATTTTAGAGTTACTTTCTGTTGGATGCGAAAATACAAAAATAATTTAAATAAAAATAGATAATATAATCCCAAAATATTTGGGTTGCATAGCTTGGTGGTTAAGATGCTTGCCTTCCAACCACAGGGTCCTGGGTTCAATTCCTGTCAGTGTTGCAGGATTTTTTCTCACGACCAAAACAACTCCACTCCCTAAATCTCATATTGAGATTTAGTTTGTGTAAAAGCATCGTGTGTATATGTTTGACTTGTGTAAGGGATTGTCACCTACAAGTAGGAAAGTGATATATTCGCTATTGACAATCCTTGGCACATGTATTGTGTGCCTAAATAAATAATAATTAAAAAAAAATATTTGATATTACAATACTATTAATGATTTAGGTGATAATTGTGTAATATATAAAACATATTTTGTTTTCTCTTGAAGTTTCAGCAATTGCCTAGAAACCAATTTCGACAGTTTCAGTTTGTTCACTGAATTGAGAAAGCGTTTGGATAATGATTCGTTCAATCCAATTATTGTGTACCAATCACATTTGTGTTTCCAAAGAAACATGTTGCAATTTCAAAGGTACTGTAGTTGAAAGTAGCCTACTGTAGATTTTATACGAATTGTTATTGGGTGTGTTTAGCTAATCATAGAAAAGATTCAACATTTTTATATTTATTTTGTCTGTCATTTACGTTAAAGTAAAGTCAGGATCCATTTAAATAGACACAAATCTCTTTCACATTTTATGAATGTCCATGCAATGGTGTTTCAAACATTCATAAACCCATGAAAATGGAATAAAAACACCAACAATATGAAAGTACTTTGCTGAAACCTGTAAGGTGAATTGGATTAAAAATTGTATAGGCCTCTATGCTATTTTGAATTATTATTTGAAATACCGAACTCTGCTATTATTATTATTATTATTATTATTATTATTATTATTATTATTATTATTATTATTATTATTATAACAATCTTCGGCTCAATTAATTTACAATAACAACCAATGTTGATGCTGTACACAATTTTAATGCTTGCATTGATAACTGAGAATAAATTAATGAAAAAATCTATTAGAAAACACTCAACAGCATTCAGTCAGGTACTTAATAGATGGCGTGTCTCTGAAATGGACCTTCAGGAGCAGCTTTCAATACCAGCCGATTGGCTGACAAGCCTTTACGACAAATTAAAGGTAAACTTAGCTTAAAACAGATGAATTATATAATTTTATTTTTGTGCATAATGAGTAAGCCTATGGGATTAATGTTTGGACCCGATATAATTTGACACGATCAGTGCCATGTAATAATTTTAGGAGAGACCTCATTATGTTATATCCTTTAATTTTTGGAATTTGTTAATATTTTGTAGGTGACAATTTTTCACAAGCCTAATAGGGATACAGATGCTCTATATAAGCGCCTAATAGGGATACAGATGCTCTATATAAACGTCTATATAAGTCTCATAGAATGAAATACATTTTGTTTTCCTTAAAACGTCCGACTTGTAGGCCTGTCATAATCTACATTTGGTTTTTTTCGAATGTTCTGAATTAGTGGGAATACCACATTAATGTGTTTTTGTATGTATTCTTTAAAAAATGAAATGTCGGTACAAAAATTACCAGTACCTAACCAAGGATTTTTTAACTATACACTGGTCAAACAGCTTAGCCTGAATTGCTATTTTTTTTAGACTCTAGAGGCCTCAACTATAAGGGACCCAGACCATCAGAGAACATTTTTTCGCTTAATTGGAAATACATTACACATGCTACAACAGCTCATTCTGCGTGGAAGGGATCTCAAAGAAAGTGTCGAACAAGACAGTAGCAAACACGTCACCTCCGTATTACTGAAGCTGCCGACTGAGACAGTCATCGAGCCTCATTTATTTCAAGTAAAATTCAATTTTTGTTTACTAAACATTCCATATACACGATTTGATGATGGAGCTATGTGTTATATTAATAACGATACTAAAGTATAATAATACTACTACTACTACTACTACTACTACTACTACTACTACTACTACTAATAATAATAATAATAATAATAATAATAATAAAAATAATACAATGATAATGACTAAGAAGACGACGATAATGATGATGATAATAATAATAATGAAAACAATTTCTACCTCCATAGGGAATCGAATCCGGGACCTGTCGCTTACAAACCTCAACCAACTAATAATAATAATAATAATAATAATAATAATAATAATAATAATAATAATAATAATAATAAAATAATAATAATAATAATAATGATAATAATGATAATAATAAATAATAATGATAATGATAATAATGATAATGATAATGATAATAATGATAATGATAATGATAATGATAATGATAATAATAATGATAATAATAATAATAATATTAATAATATTAATAATAATAATAATAATATTAATAATAATAATAATATTAACAATAATAATAATAATAATAATAATAATAATAATAATAATAATAATAACAATATTTATTATTATTATTATTCATGTATTGTTATTTCTGAAGTAAATAAAAAGTATCATTCAGTTAACAGAGATGCTTCATCAGGCAAATGACCCCGTGAGCTGTTAGCTCCATTAAGTAATGTTTACGTTTTGTTCCTGATCTTAAATTAAAGACGCTGGCCATGAAGTTAATCTTATCCTCTTTGAAATCGGTGCAAGTGGATTAATCTCATCTGATAATATGTAAAGTTTACATTTTCTTCATGAACTTTGCAAAAAGCCCATACCCGTTCAAACCTTTCGAAAATTGCGATTATTCAATCTTCCATTGTCCATGCCAAAGATGAATCCACGCGGGCTGAGCTCTTTCTTTTGAGTATTTTATTTTCTAAGTGATACATCTTGACCTATGAAATCTTTATTTTTTAATTTATCATTAAATAATTTAGAATCGCAGTTTATAATATTTTAATTCTTAATAATAATTCATTTTCTACAGTACTACTCAATAATTGTATAGGCCTATACTCTTGTCTTCTCTTGTTGTTTGTAATGTTTTGCCAGCTCTTTCTTCCTTTGTCTTCTTTCCTTTGCCATCTGTTTACGGTCTGTCCCCTCCCGTGACACTTGTTTAATTAATGTATTCATTATTATTATTATTTATTTATTTTATTCATTATTTCTTTAGGTTCACAACACATATGCGCCATGGATTGTCAATAGCGAATATATCACTGTCCAACCTGTAGGTGACTATCCATTACACCATACAAACACACGAATGTAGGTAAGAATGGCCCCGGAAAAAATGGCCCCAGAAAAAATGGCCCCGGAAAAAATGGCCCCAGAAAAAATGGCCCC